ATATAGCACATCAATTTAATGTCGTTTTTACATTTGTAGAAAAGAAAAGGGTTTTTAATAAACATTTAAAAGTACACTTAGTATTGTAAAATATACTCCTAGCTACTTATATTTCAAAACCGAACATTGGGTGATCATGGATGACTTATTTGAGATATCAAAAAACTGTTGAGTAAATCATTTTGTGAAACTTCTCTACTCAAAAATAAAAATAAAAATAAAATAAAATAAAAAGGATAGTGATTTTTGTTATTACTTTTTTGCTTCAACATGTGTTCGGAACACAGTTTATCAAAAGTTTCCATCAAGAAATGTGACATTTTAGTATCTTATACTTCAACTTCCAATTCAAGAAAATAAAAGGAAACAAAAATGATCAGTAATCCGAATGTATCAGCAGCTAATGAGAGACCTAATTAAATCTTTGGGAGGGCTTCAATATTCATGGCTCCAACTGCCCTCATGTGCTCGGTGAGCTTCAGAACGATAGTTCTGGCCAGTGATTAACGGGGGCTATGGCGTGGCCCATCATCATCACCCTTGCAACTAATCTCTCATTCATTATTACTCTTCATATACATTTAACTAATCCTCCACAAAGGGTAAGGTAAAAACAGACACATAAAAAAAAATAACATATAAAATAATTTTGAAACAAAAAAAGTACACATAATAATATCCATTTAAATATCGAAATCAATTATCAGGACCTTTTCTGGAACGCGAATTTGGTAACAGACACACTTGAATAAAATAGAAAGGATGACATACATTATGTAGTGATAATTTAGGAAGAAAAAGAAATTGGCTAAAGGGACCCTTCTTAAAGATGAACATAAATCCCTTTCACTGGAAGTGCCCCAAAGAGGGCAAAGGTTTGATAGTGAAATTACGCTCCTTTGTCTTTTCGATACTTTTCTTCAAGTAGTTGACCCAAGTGAAGAAGACGCATATACAAGTCAAAACTCAAAAGCAGGATGAAAGAAATAACGTGGACTATATATACAGTATATTGACTAAACCCATAATGTACGTAATTGGAGTATATTATCCCTGTAATGCAATCATCGAAACCTATAATAAACTAAAGCCTCATTTGTATCAAAAGAAACTAACAGAACAGGGAGTAATTGTTGAATATCGGACCCCTTTTTGTAGGGGCATGCGAGTTTACTGACAAATATATAAAGATTTATCAAGCGTATGATCCATATATAATGCGTTAATGTCGATTCCAGCAGTGATCAAATACGAAGATAAGCACAACACGATGAGTAATGCAGTTATGATGAAAAGTGAAATAGAAAAGAAAGGCTTGATGATGACTAAGATGAATGAACTAATGAACTAAGTAATTCCGTCATTCCTCAACCACCACCGACAAAGCGACATGAAGTTGTGAGGCAAATCATATTTGGTCATATCTTCTTTTTTGAGTTCTTTTCTTTTCCAAATTGTCTCATTGTTTGTCCATTTTGAATTGGAATTGTAGTGGACTATAAACATTCTTTCTGGTATGGGGCACAAAGGATAATAACATTCCTCCTAACTAGCTTTTCTTTTTTGTTTTAAGGGTTTCTTGTATTTTCCATTCCCCTGCTTAATAGTCCACCTTTTGACAATAATGCATAGAGTTTGGCTTGTAGCTGCCGGACTCGAATAATTTTTCCTTGGAATAGAACCATTAAAGATTGAGATTCGCACCGAATGAATTAATATAAGGACACCAGTTTACAACACGATCTACAAGGTAGTTTCTTTCCTGTTCTTCTTTTGATATTTTTTTAGTTAGAGTTAAGATTTTTGCAAATTGTTTTGAATTTTTACTCTTTATTATTACATTTGTGTTTGAAAAAATTAAATTTTTTAGGTTTCTTATATGCTATTGAGAAAAAGTTTCTTTGACCAAAAAAAGAAAAAAAAAAGAAGAAGTGATATTTGTATGCGACATAGGTTGATCAATTCAATGAAATGGTGTACTCCATTGGTCCCAAAATTATTTTCCAGTTTGGAGGGAGTAAGTGTTAATGAATACTAGAATGAGACGATATTAATTTGTCAGACAAATGGCACAATGTTAATTGTTAATGACCACATATGAGAAAAGAAGAGACACAAATCACTGCATCAGTCGTAAATACTTCCATCGTTGAGATGCATGCGCGCAAGAGCTACTGAACTTAATTGATTCCCAACTTTTATTTGATTGATTCCCAAGATTTGCATTGATGAACGCTGGCAGAATATCGAATACGAGGGGCTTCCCCTTATATGTTTCAAGTGTGGGCGGTGTGGCCATCGAGAATGCCCTTTTGTGACAATTACAGAGAATTGCAGGAGAAAACTCAGGATGATCATGGTTTGTTTGTTTTTTTTTTTTTTTTTTTAGGGACCTGGACTGTTTAAAGTGGATGGTCAGGGGAAATCGCTTAAAGAATCATGGGTTGGAATTGGATCTACTTCAGATGCCCGTGTACCTTTGTTAATGAAGTATTGCCTCTTCCTCCTCCTTGATACTTGGCCTACCTTTAATGCATCAGACAGTACTTTTTAATAATTGGTTTAGTTTCTGAGTTTCTGTTTGGGTTCTCTCTTGGGATCAGTTCTTTTTGTGTTGAAATTCACTTGGTTTTTACTTAAGAATTTGTTTCTGGTTTTTCTATATGCCCCTTTGCAATATTGACAGTATGTCCATTTTTTATTAGTTCACTCTGTGATACTAATAATTTAGTTTTATAAAGTGGACGATCAGAATGGGACAGAGGGAGTATTTTTCTTCCCCAATGTTGTTGAGTGTGTTCTTTTTCCATGTATTTTAGTTTTCCACATAGGAAGAGCCGGGTTTATTATGCACCGACTTTCCACAAGTTTATGTTGCGCGTAAACTCAAGGCTCAAGGAATTGCTACTCTTATTTATGTTGGTGAATCCGTGATCATCTAAACTAACCGGGTCTAGGTTTTAAACTAGAGTTTGCTAATATGATTTTTCCCTGAAATTTTTTATGTTTCAGTCAGTTAGATTCCACAAGAACAACAACAACATCACAAGTTGAGCTTGATTTTTTCAACCTCCAAAAGCTCTACCGCAAAATAATGACGTCAAATTTGGATTTGATCATATATTTTGGATTAATGCGTATGCGCTTGTGAACATGATCAATCTCTACACTGAAACTAGGCTTCTTTTCATTTTTGAATTCCGAATCTCTTCTTCCTTGCTTGAGTTCATGAATCCGGCACTAAAAAACACATAAAATGACTATGTGACTACATGATTAGGGAGGGGGGCAGTTAAGCTGTTCTTTTTTTCTAAAACAAAATACTATAACAATTCACCATTTATGTTACACAAGAATCGGGTACCTGCTTATGCAGAGTGGTGAACAAACATTTGCGCTGAAATTTGGAACCCCCAGAAACGGCAGCAAGCGAGAATGAAGTAGCATAACTTTTTCATACTTTGAGCAGTCAGGTATCTATAAACACCAGAAAAATAAACAAATCAAACCCACACACATACACACACACACACACACAATTATTTCCAAAGGTTTACCCTGCATACGTTTGTAATTGTATAAATTTTTTGAAAAAAAAAAACACTAACGCCCCGCGACGAGGATCTCTGTGCAGCGGGAAAGTCAGGGAACAGATCATACAGGATAAAAACTTCACCTCTCTTTCCTTGGAACTTATTCGGCTTCAGGTTTCAGCAATGGATGGATTTCCATTATTTAATTCTGGATTTCAGTTAAATTGAAAATCGGCGTCGCTAGTTTACTTTACTGCACTGCACACTCAGATATTTCCAGCGCACAAAACATAATATAGATCGTGTAGACGTAATGTGCCACCTTTTGTATACCGTCACAACCTCAACCCATGAATTAGGAGCTAGTTTGTCTTCAGAATGTTTTATCATGCTTAAATGTGAACCTGTTAACTTGAGTCCTTTGATGGTGGCAAAAATTTCATCTCATGCTTTCATAAACTTGATTAAGGCAGCTCATTCTCAAATGTTTCTCCTGCAAAATCATGAATAACCAGAGCCAATCTTCGACAATTTCCCCCAAAGTGTGCGGTTAAAATAGAACTTGTGCAAATAAGATAGCCAAAGGAAGAGCCATTTTCGACAGTTGAAGTGGCCTGCTGTCCTGCCCTATAAACATACAAACAGCACATGGTTGAATGTGAATTTGGCTGAATTCAAACAGCATGCAACCCCACACAGATGCCTTCTTCATCGAGATTTCTTGCCATAGTAACAAGGTTGGGCAAACTAATAAACTAATAATGCCTTGAGTGCAACAAGGAAGCTCAAAAGTCTTTTCATTTGCAATGAGATTCTTTGGGTTTGGAAATCCTTTATCTACACACTGAAGCTGATCCTCCCATATTTCATCTCGACATCAAAGCAACATACCACTGGACTTTATCTGCTAAGGTTGCTGAGTTTGGACTTTCAAAGCTTTGCTCCTGCTCCAGAGTATGAAAGAATGGTGCTCATTCATCTATGGTGGTAAAAGGAACTCGAGAGAGTTGTATTTCTGGAGCTTTTAACTGGGATGTAACCGATTCAGTGGTAAAAGTATTCTCAGACTTCAACATCACTATGTATATAGAAACAAAAACCACATTTAAGTTATTTTACCTCCTTTTCGTCAGGTGTCACTTCCGATTAGAAACAAACACCACCTTCTATTCTTATAAAAAGTCTAAACACCCTTTCAAAAACTTGTCCTACCAAAGCCTGTGTTAGCTGAGTTAAGTTAAATTTCTTAATTCTGCATTTCACTTGGATTGGAAATTCAAGTCTGGAGTTTATTGAACAACAGTAACCAAAGTACAAATATAAAAAGATTGGTCTATAAATACTAGAAAATGACAAGCTAGAAAACTCCCACAAAATGAGGGGCATAAAATTGCTCTTCAGCTTTTATCAGCAGGCAATTCAATTCAACAAGTGCTGGCATCGTTAAAGCTATGAGCTCTTTCCATTCTAGGCTTTCGCACTTGAAATCATTGAATGCCAAGCCTCTTCTGCCTCTTTGGACTTCCTCCTAGCTCGAGCTCGAGCCTCTTCTGCCTCTTTGGACTTCCGCATAACTTGAGCCCGAGCCTCTTCTGCCTCTATGGACTTCCTCCTAACTTGAGCCCGGGCCTCTAGGGTCCCTCGAGCTAGAGCCTCTTCTGCCTGTACGGCCTTCCTAGCTAGATCCTGAGCCTCTTTTTCTACCTCTTCCAACCTGCACATCTCTCGAGCCAGAACACCTTTTGTCACTTCTGCCCATTCTTCTGCCTCTTTTAAATTCGTCATAGCTTGAACCCTAACCTCTTGTGCCTCTTCGACCTTCCTCATCTCTTGAATTAGATCCTCTTTTGCCTCTTCTTCTGTTATGAACTTTCTCATGTCTTGAGTCTGAGCCTCTTCCGCCTCTTTTAACCTTTTCAAAGTTGATTTAATTAATGTATGTGGAATCTAGCCCTAATTTTTTCGAATCAGTATCCAATAGATGATATCTTTAACTAATCAAACTAAATCAATCTGCAAGAGTTCGACCCAAAAAGCCAAAAAGCAAACAGCAAAAGAAACCCTAATTCGATGGAGAAAAGGGTGCGTGCAGTCCAAGTGAGATTGTAGAATCAACCGTTGTTAGCTTCAGTCTGAGCACATCAAACCAAATCATGCAAAGATAAACAATCAAACTTAGTTCAAATGATGTGTATTTGGATTCTCTAATGATTCGATGAAGGAAAAAGGGATCTTAATTTAAAACAACCAGAGATGATTGACCCTCGAAAAGTTTGTCTCTTGCCCCACAGATCAGGGGCTGAAGGAGTGCTTATTTATGTTCCTGAACCGGATTAAGGGCTCAAGATTCGTTTCAGGGCCCAAAACAGAGTTTGCGGATGTGATTTTCCCAGTATGTTTCCCATTATATATATATATATATATATATCCAGTTTACCTGGGCAGATTGGCTTCAACAACAGCTAGCATAAAACGACGCAAACAACGACATCTCCAAATTTACCAACTTTCAGAGCCACAATCTGAATTACGGGGCCTGGTTGTCCTAACCGGCGGCCAAACCATAGAAGTTTCGCAGTCTAGCCAAATGGATCCCAACATTGATCCTCGATTCAGACCACAATAGCTTAAGGGATGGATGCCCAAATCCAGCTGCCCAAAAAGACACCACCACCCCACTTCTTGACTCCCTACAAATCTGTTTGATACCGCTTATTTCCTGAACTTGCTGCAACTTGGAGGGCAACTTCATTCTGATAAGGAGCTTATTCATAATTATGGCTGTAGAACTGTTTATTTTGTGAAGTTCTACAGTAATATATAACTCATAATCCTCGGGCATTATGGTATGATATCGTCTATGGATCAAGATTGGGAATTATCACCTCCTGCTGGGGAACTGAAGCAGAGATCAGGCAGAAGACTCGATTAGGATTCACATGTTATCCATATGCATTTTTCATCATCTTTTGTTTTCCTTTTTAGTTCGGAAGGGTGATTCATTCTTTTTTTTTTTTTTTTACGTTTTTAAAAAACTCCTTGGGTGTTTATTGTTTCATGGTGTGAAGATATTCTGAAGACCAATGCTTCGGGCAAGCTTCAAGAAATAAAAACGTTGGATCTAATTAGTGGGAACTTCACGAGAATGTTCTTCTTCAAGAACTTGTCTAGTAGCCAGGTTTTGAAAGAGTTTAACATGGTGTTTTAAGAGATGAAGCCTGTTACATTCGGCCTTTTCAAGCACTTCCATGAGTTCCATCTTTATACATTTGTGATTTGTCCGATGTCAATAAGCCACTAAAATTACCATTCATCCTCAAATCAACATCTGGTCATATCAAAAATGCAGAAGGGAAATGGATTTGCGGGAAATAAACTGATAAGCATTCATTGAAACATCCATACAGATTCGACCATTACAAGAAACCATAATGTTCCATGTGCTCCATACAAGTTTTGGTAAACTGCAAACAGGATGCATGATTTACTTATAGAACTCGAAGTCAGTGTCGGGCTTCTTTACGTTGGCTCTATATCCCTTCTCAAAGTCCTTTGGAAGAATGACATAGCGATTCTTGCGCACTGCATGCATTCCTGCTTCCTGACAGATGGCTGCAATCTACAAGGCCAAATCCAGTTCAAATGTCAGTTTTCTCATAACACTCTACTAAGCTATTGGATTCACATAGCACGCAAAGATGAATAGTTGATAGTAAAGAAGAATTTGTGCCATCGTAGTTTTGGTACGAAAATTAACTAAAATTTCCAGAAAATATTAAAATAGGATCAAGGCTGAAACACAGCCATCATGTAGCATGCTAATCAGACGAGGCATCCTAATCTGGCATCAGATGAAGGGCAAAAGTAATCTTATGAACGTGATGCTCAAATCAAATATTGCAAAACAGAAGAAACACCTAATCTAATCCAAGTGGGAACAGGATTGATGAACTGCTTTTGCGGCAAGAGTACATCTTCAGGGTTAAGTCTCAGAGATGAATGGAAAAATTATCTCATTTCATAATATTTAGGCCCCAAAGGTTATTTGAGAAAAAAAACTAACCTCAGCAGCACTTATTTTATCTGGTCGTGAAACATAGTCCTCTAGGTCAACCTCATCACCCAAATTCATTTTGGCGGTACAGACCTGCATAAAACACAAAAGCAACACCATAAGTTCAAACTTAGTGAAGATAATGCAGAAGATGTGAGAGAAGATAATGCAGAAGATGTGAGAGAGTATCTGTGCAAACCACACCTGAAACACAAGTCTCTTCTGACGTCTATCAGGCAACGGAAACTCAATCTTCCTATCGAGCCTTCCAGGACGTAGAAGCGCAGGGTCCAACGTATCAGCGCGATTAGTTGCCATTATAACCTTCACATTCACGGTCTGGTCAAACCCATCCATCTGCAGAAAACAACAATACACACAAATATTACAGACAGGTCCTTCACATAGCCAAAAACCTGCTTTCACTTCAACAGATGGCTTTTTTGACTTTCATTTGAGGACAATTTGCTGTTCTAGACGGTAGTTCTTTTAACAAAGTAATTAATGAACATGGAATAAACATAAAGTAGCAAGAGCACTCTCATAGCATACCTGATTAAGCAATTCCATTAGAATCCGCTGAACCTCTCTATCAGCCCCAGTCTGGGCATCAAACCTGGCAGTAGCAATTGCATCTACCTCATCAATAAATATGATTGCGGGGGCATTTTCTTTAGCAAGACGGAAAACATCACGAACCATTCGTGGACCCTACAGAAAGCATATATGAATTAAAGATCAGCAAATCTTAATCCATTATCTGAAATAAAGATATAAACAGGTATTCTTAATGACTTCTGCGACAATTACTAGAGGTAAAAAGAGATTCCTGATGTAATAGCAGATTCAAACTTGTAGTTGAGGTTGGCATAACTAATCCAGTTAGACAGTTAGCACCAAACGTAAGTTAAAAAGATACAATATGTTGCATTGATGTATTGTTTTTATTCACTAAGTAAATGGAGAAGCAAAAACAGGGGCTAAATCTTTCAACATGCAAATGACATGAAGGTCAGTTACGATCAGAAACACGACAGACATGCAAGCGATGGTCGCAGAAGAAAATCTAGCCTAAAGATTCTTAAAAGTTAACACTCGAAAGCCTTTCATGGTAGATCGATTTTTTAACAATGTAGCTGAACACATGCAATTTCGGAAAACAGAAAATGCAGCTGAAACACTCTGTGAAGAGTTCCTCAATACATACCTCACCCAAATACTTCTGAACGAACTCGGAACCAACAACTCTAATGAAGGCCGCCGTAGTGTGATGAGCCACAGCCTTAGCAAGCATGGTTTTCCCAGTTCCAGGAGGACCATAGAGCAAGACACCTCGTGGCGGATCAATACCAATCTGCTTGTACAGATCATGGTGAGTCAAAGGCAGCTCAACAGCCTCCCGAATTTCCTGCTTCTGGATGTCACATCCTCCAATATCCTACGAAATAGGAAAGAGTAAAAGGTAGGTAAATCTCAGCCCGAATTTTCAGAATATTATAAGCCACATGAACAAATTATGATATCATAGTTGGGTACTAGAATTGGATCCCCTCCCGACAACAAATATGTAGACCATTATGCACGGAAATTTGACCCCAACACAAAAGGTATATAATGATGCACAGCATCAGACCACATAAGGTGAAACAAATCAGATAATACACAAGCAAATACAATAAGCTTCATTGCATTCAAGACTCAAGATAAGCCCAGTACCCCATGAAAAAAATATGCAAAGTTATGAATCAGAAAAACATAACCAAACTAATACTTCAGAACAAAAAGCATGCGCATGGAACTAAATACTCAGACAAAAGCATCAGAACATATACGACTTCGTTAAAAAAGCAATCTTTACAATACAATCCCCAGGTAAGCAGCATAAGCATCCATCCACAGACAAAGCTAGGCTAACTAATCAAGCATAGAGCAATTTTAGAACTAAAAGCCCAAAGTTAAAACTTCAATCCAAAACTTAGAAAAAAAAACCCTAGGTCACAAACTTCCCCAAATCGTACAAAATTGAAGAAACTTCAACAAAAAGTACCAGGCTGAGAAATCAATAAACTTACAGTATAAGTAACATCAGGCCTCTCCGACTGGCTGAGGAGCGAGATACTGGAGTCGGCTTCAGGGGGCAAAACGTCAACTAGGGCATTGGAGTGGCGGTGGAGAGCGACAGAGGCGGAGGGCTTAAGCAGCTCACGATTAATTGTACTGAGAATCCTCACATAATAATTAGACCCGGTGGTTGAACCCACGATTCCGTTGTTCTGATCTATCATCTCCATGAACTGACCGATAACGAGCGGCACCGATTGGATCCTCTTGACCTCCTCCTGGGCCCGCAAGTGCTCGCGGCGGAGATTCTTGAGCTCGTCCTTGACATACTCCTCTTGGATTTCAATGAATTCGAGCTGCCGTTGTAGGGATTTCAAGCGCGTGTAAAGATCCTCCTCGGTATCGGATGCATAGGATGACGACGAATCCGAAGAGAAAGCGTCGATACGGGTTGCCGGTGGCTCTTTCGGGTCAAGCACCATCGCAGTCGCCATTGATAGAGAGTTCTACAGAGAGCCGGAAAAAGCAGAAGGGGGAAAATAAGGGCAAAGCAATAGGAACGGGGGTGACGTTTGTGCCTCTTTCGATATTTTAATGTGATTTATTTATATATAGCTAAAAAAAAAATTTGATATTCCTACACAAGAAACTAATAAATCAATTATAGTCAGGATTAAAAATCATGTAAATTTCAAAAATAATTATCTGCTATTTTCCAGTCAAAACGAAAATTAAATAGGCCAAAGTCTATATGTTGTTGATTTGGTAAAAATAAACTTAACATGATAAAATCACTTGTTTTTTCAAAATAACCTAAATAGAAGTAAGTGTTTGACCAAAAATCAAGTTTATAAGTTGCACAGGAAGTTTTTGATAATTAGTGCCATACATAATAAGTCCATTTACCCGGGGAGGGGGTTTGTTTTGGGGGGAATACTACAATTACTCCTCAGGAATAATCATAGAGATTAGAGATGTTACCTCAAAAAAGTTTGTAATGCCACTCAAAACGTTGTTGGTAAAGGTGTTTAAATTTTAGCCATGAAACCCCCTTTTTATAGACAAAGACAGAAACTCGGCAATAACAAATCCTAATACTACCTGATAATAGATTAACAATATCCTAACACTTTATCCCCCTAATTCTTAAATAAAAGAAACAAAAATAGCCAACTAAACTTTAAAAACTTTAATAATTAGTAGGAATTACTTAGATTGGAGTAAAAATTTTTAAAAACTTGTCTCGCTAGTTTTGGGGTCAAAGTCGATCGTTTATTAAATTTTAGAGAATATAATAAGATGCAATAAAAAATTACTGGAAAACAACAAAAGCAATATTTATTTTTTTTTCTCCGACAAGGATAATAGTTAAAAGGGGTTTTTTCTCCAAAAAAAATAATTAAAATAAACGTGGACAAATTAAAATTTTTCAGAATATTTGTGGACAGAATTATATCCCTGGGATTTTCGAAATCCGAGTTTCGATTAAAATTAAATATTCGGATTTCGGAAATCCGAGACTATATTTAATAATAAAATAATAATTAAATAAATTTTGTTGAATAATAGTTTTTAAAAATTCTTAAATGAACAGTGCCGTTCGGATTTGCGGAATCCGAATTTAATTAAAAAATAATAAATTGAGGTGCGAAATATTTGAACTCAAATAAGAGTCCAGGACCTGTAATCTTTAAATAAACAGTAGTACTCGGATTTACAAAATCCGAGTTCGCAAAAAGAAAAAAGAAAAAAAGAAAATCGAGGCGCGAAATTTTTGAATCCAAAAACCGGAAGTTCGTAATCCGGTTTTTTGTATTCGGATTTTGGAAATTCGACTGTTTTTAATTTTGGTTGGTGGAAGTAGGCATGTGCCATAAATTGGAGGACCAAAAAATGAATAAAAAAATTCAGAATTGACGAAACTCGGATTCAGGAAATCCGAGTCCACCTTAATTCGGATTTCGAGTATGAGTTACTTACGTGCTCGGATTTTGGAAATCCGAGTTTATCGTGCTATAAAAGAAAAAAATTCAGAGAGTTCTAATTCGAAAACTGAGTGGGATTTTTTGTTTTTGCAGCTCAAACAAGGGCAAATTGAAGCTTTTGATGAATTCTTACCTCTAGATACGTGGGAATCGTTATTTAAAAGATGTTAGATCGCAAAACCATGTTATTTAGTTTAGTTTTGTGTTATTTTGATTGTTAGAATGATTTATGATAGATTAAGGTTTATGTTGGTTGGTTGTTTGGATGTTTTAGGTGTTGATTTTAAGGTTAGAGATGAGAAATCATAGTTATTCATGAGATATGGAAGTTGATTTATAAGTATTTTAGTATTTTATAGGTTTTTTGAATTATGAATGGAGTATGTATGGTGTATTTGTTGATTTTGTTATTTAAGAAATGATTAGATATTAATGTTTTTTTAAACAGTTATCAATGGCACGTAATGTATCATACATGCTTAATTTGTTTCATACAAGCAAGTATATGATAGAGAATGGTAGTATCAACACTTTTTCGAATATGCCGGATCATGGTTTGTTTGTTGAGGAAAGGTTGTCATATGAGGGATTGATTAGTAAGATTTGTATGACACTTGGTTGGAATCCAGCACACGTAAAACTCCATCTTTCTTTGATTTTCGATAGTCCAAATGGTAGGCGTGCAATGAAGATCAAGAATGATTCGTATGTAGAGTTCATGAACCGTGTAGATCCAATGTCATGTTTGGATTTATACATAGATTTCGAAGATATCACTCACGAAGAAAGAGAAGCGGGTTTGGAAAACAATGTGCCATTTGGTGGTTTTCCAAGGGAGAACGTGCTAGTACTTCTCGAAACTGTGATGAAGAGGAGACACTTTTATTTGCACAAGATGACTACCGAGAAGAGTCAGATCCCGACTACATAGCTCCAAGTGAAAGCGAAGAAGATTGTGATGTGTCCGGAGAGAATGATTTTGAAGAAAGTGATGATGAAAGGTTGGAAAATGAGGAAAGGGATTGTAATCCATTGCCCCGACGCCATGTATATAGTAATATGGGGAAATGGGATGCCTCATTTGTGCACAAGGATGAGTTTGCTCTTAAGATGTGGGATGAGACGCCCGAAGGAATGGATATTGGTGTTTGTTTCAAATCTCAATCAGAAGTAAAGCATGCTGTGAAATTATGGAATATCCATCATAAAAGGGAATGTACGGTCGCTGCAAGTAGTCCAACAACGTGGGCTGTGCGGTGCAAAATATTAAATGTGGAAAGTGAGGATGGTGAATCACCATGTGAGTGGAAGATGCGTGTGTCTTTGAAAGGTCACGGCCTTCATGAAATTGTGAGATGGCATGATGCACATAATTACATGACTCCCGTGAATGATAATGACAATCGGTGTGTGGACGCGTCTTTGATTGCTAGACTCATCAGGAGAAAGGTTGAGGACAAAGTAGATTATACGGTAGTCTCGGCAGAGAAAGATGTGAAGACCTTATTGAAAGTAGATGTGTCATACAAAAGGGCGTGGCACGGGAGGAGAAAAGCCATAGAAACGGTCTATGGTGATTGGACCTCGAATTTCGAAGAATTTCCACGGTAAATATCAACTTTTATCCGTGTATTGAAATATTTTTAGAGTTTTTTTTTTACATGTATTGAAATATTTTAACTATGACTTGTTTGTTGTGTAGGTATATCGATGGGCTTAAGTTTACTAATCCTGAGACTGTAGTAGAGTGGGAATGGAAGGAGGGACAAGAAGGTTGGAACAGGGGAAATAGGACATTTAAATACGTCTTATGGTCATTTGCACCAGTGGCTGCGACTTTTCTTGAATGTCCACCGGTTATTTGTATCGATGGAACCTTCTTGTGTGGTGGATACAAGGGTAAATTGCTTGTTGCGGTGGTCTATACCGCAAACAAGCACATTTTACCGGGTGCATTTGCGATTGTGGATGAGGAGACAGTAGAGAGTTGGATATTTTTTATGAGGAATTTGAGGTTGTGGGTTGTGCATGATAAAATCGTAAGCAATCCAACCGGAATGCAGGGTTGTTGAGCGCAATGTCACAGATGGATGAATGGCGTGATTTAGGTGATGGTGGCCACTTTCTTTGCCTCCGCCACGTTCGCAGCAATCTTGTGTCGCGATATAATAGCAAAAAGGTGAAGCGGTTATGTTGGAAGATGGGGACGACGCTTTTAAGAGTGAAATACAACCTTATGATGGCAGAGCTTATTGAATTCAAACCTCCTACATAGGAGTATCTTCGAGGGATTGGAGGGAGTAACTGGGCTCGATTGAAAGCCGGTCTTCGTTGTTGGGGCATAATGACAACTAACATTTCTGAGAGTCACAACAATGCGTTGAAAGTGATTCGATTTTTACCAATTAGAGCCTTGATTGATGCAGCCTTTCGCAAAACTGTGAAATTCTACAGAGAAGAACAATTGTCTGCGAGAAATTGCATGACACCGATCCCTCCTGAGTTATGAAAAATACGAGAAAATGAACGACAAAGCAGCCAGTTTTGAATCCACCCCTTTTGATGGTGATGATACTATGTGGCGGGTTGTTACTGCAATACGGCTAAGTGGCAGGGGTGGATCTTTACATACGGTGAACTACGATGAACATAGGCGTTCGTGCATGAAGTGGCAAGAGTATCAGATGCCTTGTACGCGCGCACTCCAAGTTTGTCGGAGAAAAGGGGATCGGCCTATTGATCATACCATAGTGTGTGGCGCCTTCCAACTTGCCGTAGACAATTTGATTACACGGGCTTTGTTCCGGTTCCCGATGAGGAACAATGGCCGACGGTCAATTGGAACATTATTCCGAATTATGAGCGTCTTGTGTTGCATGCGGGACCCGGACGAAGACAAAAAATGAGACATAGAATGCAAATGGATTACAGGGGACGCCGGAGCCGGGGGGAATGTTGGAAATGTGGACAACAAGATCATGATGTCAATTCTTGTCCTAACTCGCACCCAGGAGTAGATAGAAGATCTGTGAAATAATAGTAATAACACTATTCTTAAACGAGTAAAACAAAAAATAATAAAAGCCAAACAAATGATATGTGGAAATAAAATCATTTAAATTCTAATACCTGTAATGGCAACACCGCAACAGTCAATGCAATATCAATGAGAAATTTTTTTTTTCCTTTGTGTTTATATAGAGATGTAAAGAGAATATTTTGAAGTCTAAATTTTATCCGATTAGGATGTAATTGATCATCACTAATGAAAAGATTGAACATGCTAATAAGAAAGGAGTATATTTTACCACATATTCTCAATTGATGGTTGATGAGGAATTTGTTTGTTTTAATTGTGGAGAAGAGATTGATTAGAGAGTCGATTGTCGTGGAGATGGAGATGGGGATTTGGGTTTTTTACGAACCCAAATCAATTATATTTTCTTATATAGTGTAATCACATCCAAATATTTTAATAGTGTAATGATATCATTATCTAATATTTGCAAAAAATATTATTATACACTAATTTGCAAATATTGAATGTGATATCAATTAATCAGTTTAATAGGATTGCGATTTCTTAAGTAGTTTTTGTATAAAAATATTAGATGTCAAAAAAAAAAATAGTGTAACTTAAGAATACTCTATCGAAATAAACTTAATTGTGTTATGACCATTTTATAGTAACTTAATAAAATTAATAGCAGTGATTATGTATGTAACATTTCAGTATTTTTGTTGTAAATTTTAGCTCAATTAATCCACATATAAGAATTGATTTGGGGTTTATATATATATAAAAAATTGATCCAAGAAGGTTCGGTGAATATTGACAAATTACCGTAGCAAAAGATTCCGTTAGCTAATACATAAATGAGGGTCGATGATTTAGAAAAAATTTTAGAGCCGTTGTCATGATTTTCTACACGGATTCAAAACCATAATTTCTACACGGAATAATTTCTACACGTGGACTGATTAAAAGTCGATTGGTGGGTGAAATCGTGGAGGTTGAGGGAGGGGGGGAGAGAATGACATGAAAAGTTCTCCTATTACATCTTAATAGGAGGTGGAGGTGGATTTAGATTGCATTTGTTTTATAAGTATAGGAAACTGATGTGTAAATAAAAATTTATTTTAAAAATATGATATGAAAATACCACATGGCAAATGGTGGTACTTTCTATTAAGTGTGGTTTTTGTTTCTAATATAGTAAGATATATGGGAGCGACTACGGTCCAGTCGACTGAATGATTCAGTCATATGTTAAGAACCGTAGGATGTAATAGGAGAGATGACGGCCATTAGATTAGAATAATAGTGTTTAAAAAGTTGGTAGAACCTATTGCACTGGATTATTCTCACTCAATCAGTAAAAAAAAATGTTTTAAAAATTTCAGAATTTTACCCAAGCATCCCATGTTCTCAAGATCACAACGATACACACCCACATAATTTTTTCCGACGAACTCCTACTCATCTTTAATGTCAAATTTAATTTTATTTCTGAAATGTTAGTCCAGATTTTTTAGGCTAATAAAACAATTCAATAAAAATTGTACATCATTATTTAGCCCTTTCTCAATTTTTCTAATTTTTGTTTATGCTAATCCCCTCGATGTATAATTCAACTGAAGATTTAGATCACCGATAAATTAATTTAAATCAAAGCGAGGATAAAAACATGAATAAAATTTAGAGGAATCTGTATATTTTGTTCCAAAAATGGAAAAAGGGTTAAGTTTCCGTCAGAATTATTTATTGCTTTCTATATTTTTCAATTGTTACTAGAACTGAGCTCAATTCAATATTTCAATGGAATTATGGAAATGCTTCCTAAGAAAATACAAAAAAAATAACAGAAAATATAAGACAGAATCAATCAGTGGGCATTTTCACCGGAGACGCAAGGTCGGGAAGGATGCAGTATTTCCGACGACATGGATTGAAGAAAAGGAGGCTTTTAATTATTCTTTTCTTTTAATTATTCAAAATTGTGTAATCAATTATCCAATTAATAACAAAGTTAAGGGTTAGAAAGAAATTTGTTTGAATACTTCTCACCCCATTATTGCATATGATATGTTACGTTTTGATCGGATGTGTATTAACTGAATAGTTTAGTCAAAATTTAATGATTGGACCATAGAATTTCTTATATATATATATATATATATCCTAATGGAAATGAAAAATAAGACGGGATATGATTCAACATGGTCACCAAAACACGCATAAATCTTGAAAACAGAATTTAACTAAATAGAGCAAAAAAAAAAAAAAAAAAACAAGGAAGAAAAACTTTAGCCAGTTCCCACCCCAAATTGTAAAATTATATACCATCATCTCTACACACAACACAATAGATGAGAATGATCAAACTTGGGAGAAGCACATCTAGGAAATAGAGAACCTTCTTCTTCTTGGCTTGGTAACTTCTGGTAAGGCATCATCTATATTAGAAGTGTCTTTAGAGCCATGCTTGAAAGGGTTCAGTTTCCCCAATGTCTTGGACATGGACGAAAAGAAAGTCGGCTTTCGTGAACTCGTCGTGGCAGCACTGGATTTTGCTGGTATCCCTTGTGTTTTCTGCAGATCAGAGATGTACATCTTCATCTTTAACAACTCAGTTCGCAGTTCCTCATTTTCTTTAACCAGCGATACATCAGCTTGGAGCTGATTCCTTGTAGTTATCGCATTAGGCATTTTGTGATCATTATCTGCTCCACTTCTCAACTTCAGTTGATCATAGTAGAGTGCATGAAGTACTATTTGTACAGGCAAACGTTTGTTCTGTGAAGCGTGGAGTCTTGCTTCATACGATAGCTTCAATGGATCCATTACACTGCAAACTTTCTCCCGCTCGATCTCATCTAGATTCGGATGAGCCTGTATTTTACACAAACAAATGATTCGCTTTGAATTAGCCCTTTTTGTTATGTGAACTTGTAAATGCATTTGATCTGTCAGTATATGGACTTTTCAACATAGCATAAGCCAAAAGCATAACTCAAACGCTGCTTATGCGAGCAAAATCAATTATTCAAATTCAGTAAACACTACAAACTAGAAGTATATCAATGCTATAAATATATGACAGATGCAATCAAGTAGAAATCAGTTAGCTGACTTACCTTTAGGTAGATATCAACAGCCCGGTAAAGATCATCATCAACCTTTCTAGCTAATTTAGGTATCAAAACAGCAATCCCATTGAACTTAGAAATACTAAGATCTGAAAATGTAGCAATTTCACTGAGGTATGCATCCACAGTTTTAGCTACTCTAAGCATAGCAGCTGAGCTAGCTTCACTGAAATCCCCAGCATTGAAAACTGCGACACTCTTTTCTTTCTCCACAAAGCTAGATATGATCCTCCTCACACTCTCCAAATCAAACAGCCTCTCACCATCATAAGTAAATGACAGAACCAAAAGATCGTCGACCGTCACGTGCTCCAGTATAGCCGATATCCTCTTCTCCAGCTCATTCTTACATTTACTAGCTGCTCCCAAGTAAATTGCAGCTCTGAGGAGACAGCAAAGGAAGTTAATCGGCAAGGCCGCCTTTTCGGGTGGTAAGAGGCCAACTATGTCTTCCAGAAGTTCTTGTTGCCGGGTTCTGAGGTCTGAGTTATTGGGTAAAATGGTCATGGTTCCACTCCCGGATCGGTCACGTACAAGATCTCTTAAGCACTTCTCTGCATATGTTATTAAAGCACTGGCTATGGTAAAGGATTTCGCACCCCTTGCCTTCATTGAAGCAATTACTCTACCAAAGAACTTAATATCCAAGATTGATAGCTCCTCTGTCCACCAATTTGGTGGCGAACGACACGGAAAATTCGCCTCAACACAGGCCTAATTAATCAATAAGAGGGAAAGTAAACACTGATCATGTTCCATTCAAAAGTGATTAAATTTTTCCCGAAACTGACTGAAAACCCACATACGATTCAAACCCAATTGGCAATTTCGATTATTTTGAGAGAATCTGTAATTCTATATTATATCATGATGGTGGAAGGAATATAGGTGTACCTTAGAGCTGATGACATCAACACATCTTTGGACAATTTTCAGGTCTTCAGACAGGGGAAGGAGATTTTCACATGATTTAAGGACAACAAGAGCTCCAGAGAGGCTAGGCAGGGCAACTTGCTGAAGGAAATCTTCGGTCCGGCCGGCCAAGTTGTTGTCGCAGTACTGATCAGTCATTTGAAGATATTCAGCTGCACAACGCAAGGCGGCTACGTTTTGAATCGTGATCTCAAAATTTACACCATAACAGAACTTGGCAGTTTTCTCAAAGATTTCAGGGCCACCAGGGATATCCGACAGATCAATCACGGATAGGTCTGGATCACTAGATTCAAGAATGTATTTTCTTATGTAGTTGCTCTTAGCTACCAGCATGAACTGCCAGGAAAGATTGAATTATGTGGGTTTGATGATGCTAATGGAACCTTTAAAACAAATATGATAAAAACAATGAAACAAGCAACAAACCTTATGAAGAGAAAAGGCGGCTCCTCCTACATGAACAACAACATCCGTGGGAATTTCTTGGGAAAAAACCCTGTGAAAAATCATAAATGAAACAATGAAAAATTTGATCAGTTTGTGTTAGTAGAATACAGCCTCTTTAACTCTAGTTTTCTCCTCCTTTCTTAACTCTGTTTTCTTTGAGGAGTTAGTTTTGCTGCCGACTTACCATTGGCCAGTTCTCTCCATGGCTAGAGAGAGTCTGTTGCTGTTGTTGTTGTTCACCAGAGGATTAGCCATATAGCAAGGACTTGGAGGAAGATGACCTTAGGAGAAAGGGATCTTCGTATTAAGTAGTGAATTGTGAGTTTAAGGATATATAGATCCCTTCAAAATTTCATCTTCTTGTTTTGTTAAGTCTGTTTGACTATGTAAATTGATCCACTAGGCTTTTTGATCTATCCATCAATAATGTAACTTGGCATTTAGTTAGACAGCAAGTTTAAGTGTTGTCTCCTAAAAGAAAAAAGACGCAATTGGTCAGGGGCTATTCACTAATCACTATTCACCCACCTTGACACCAGGGTAGTTTTCATCAACTTTATTCTTCTGCCTTCAATCAGATGACTGTTTACTTGAGGGTTAATTTGACTCCTCTTTAACCAGTGATTATCACATAACTTCTCCGTCCCAAATTGATTGTCATGTTTGATTAAAAACTAGTAACGTAAAGTCTCCATTTCCCACAAGTTGTTATAGCCTTCGATTCACCACTACGCCATCACAAGATTCACTCCATAATTTACATGTGAACTTTAATGCCAAAGATGGCTAAATGGGATGAACTAACCAAGAAAAAAGATCGATCATATATACTCTTATAGTCTTATCATTACTGTCTCACATGTGAACTAAAAACTCTGGAGGCTTCTTGACCAAAACAGCTACACTTTACTCTCAAACCTTTTTTCAGTCATTTCATGCATATACAGATAGTTAAAGTGACCAGAGCTTGCACTTTTTGCCTTTTTACTTACGACGTGTCCATGTTAGTTGAATCCATAGCTGTCAGTGGCGGAGGTAGGGGGTACGGAGGCGCGGTTGCACCTGTTAAATTTTTTTGTACTTCGTGGGAATGTGTTAAATTTCAATACAAACTATATGTTGCATAATTTTTCGCACTCTTTACATCGATTCCCTGATGTTATTTGTAATTTTGTCTAAATTTTACACCCCTAATATTGATTTCATGGTTCTGCCACTGCATAGCTCCCTCTTACACTTGGTGTAACAAACAAAACGTTAAACACATGAATGATACAATTGAATCGTGTTTTATGTTTGTTAGTTTCAACTCATTTTGCTAAATGACAAATTGACATGAAAAAAGTGAAATTCACTAACAGTAAAACGGTTTTGAGCTTTCAGAAAAACTACATTCTCTTTTTTTTTTTAATAAAAAAAAACACCATTTTGTTAGGGATGGGAATTGAGACAACAACAATCAATCAGATCATCAAAGTCCAAAAGAGACAGACATGGGGGGTTTGAGAATGGGATCACTGGAAGATACTACAAACTTTCTTCAAAATTAATTAACTCCTAAAAAATTCGGTGGTTTCTCCACCACTTAAACCAGTGGCTACCTTCTTCCCAGGCTCCCACCCTTGCCATCTAAAGTCCTAAACCCAAAGTAAGTATCAAATATCTGGTGCCCCCGAATGCCACGTCATGCTTTTTCCATAATTTTCCATATCAGCATGACCCCACTTCCCCTTTTCCAGCCTTGACAAAATCCAGACTCCAAGTTAATCTCATTGTGATTGTGGGACCACCCGGTATCCGTATTCATCAAATCAAGGACTGACACGTTGGACTACGTACTTTATTTCCTCCATTCCCGTGAGAGGAACTGATATCCAATTCACTAACATATTGTTTTGTAACTCTGTTGTTAATACAGGACACTCAGAGATATACACGGTGGAATACTGGAAACCGTATACGAATACGATATTATATTACTACCAATACTTGATAAGTATAAGCAATAGGGTTATGGAGTATGGACCATTTTGGATGGAGGGGACCGTACAGAGTTACAAAAACAAACCAAAGAGCTAAGAAGCCTCATCCTGTATTCAGCATAAGACAAGTTTAATCCGGCTCTCCTATTGTTTTCCTTGTACCCACAAGATGGAAAAAGATGGTATTTCTAGCGTCTACCATGCAAATTGGATTGGTTATATTGGAACTTTGAACCGTATATATGTATCATACCTCACGAAATGCGCAAACAGATTTTACATGATAATTCATCATGTCCATCTAAAAAAAAGAAAAAAAAAACGCTCGCGAATTTAAATTTTAACATTCTATAAAAAAAAATTCGAGATTCGTGTATTTGATTAGTAAAACTTTTTAAGATTGAGAAAGAAAGGGAACACGATTAATAACTTTTCGTCTTGGAGGATTAAAAGAATAGTTGGCTTCGTCCTTTACTTATCCATTCATTTTTTTCCCCGGACGACTAAAAGAGCTTAAGCATTCATTTTCATTTTTATTTTCATCTCCTAATCTGTTTGACTCAGAATGCAACAAGATGGGGAAATGTTCAGAGATGGCGACTCTCTTAATTATCTGGGGTATGTAGGCCAATTCCTGAAAACCTATTAACATGGTTTGGGTTAATGGTCCATCTACGATTGTGGTTGCGAATAGATCCTCAGCTGGCAAGGTGGGCACTCCCGGCCCGGAAGTCACATCCTTAACGGCATTCTTATGGGACCTTTCAAAGCTAAAATGCCCTACTAATGTCAGATTCCGACTTTCTAACCTCAGGCTATGGTTGGGCCTTGTGAGTATGGGCTGTTTATTTCTGATACCAATGTTGGCCTACTATCTAATTGTGTGTAATGTGTTAACGTTGTAACAAAATTTTATCATATAAGTAGAGTGGAGATATCTCATACGAAGAGAACCGGAATGTCCAAGCAATGTTCATGCAATGTCCTAAGTAGAGTTAAGCAGTTTTTGAACCGGAATTGGCTAGTGGAGATATCTCATATAAAGAGAACCGGTAACGAACCGACAAATTCACTACCCAAACTCGATTTTATACATAATCCAGGGCAGCATATTTTGGCAACGGCCCCCGTTACTACTCTATAAAAAATGGTTTTAGACTATTCAATACTACGCTCTCGCAATGAATTGTTTTTGTAATTAAGTTTCAGCTTTACAAGATATATAAAAAAAATTATCATCCTTTATAATCAAATCTTTTAATGCGGACAGGAAGAAAGAAGAGTAAATATGAACTATCTTGCACAATAAGAATGTTCGGTAATAGGATATGTGGCTGCATATCATATAAGGCATATTTTGTGGAATGACAATATCTATTTAAAGAAGTCAATTGTTTGGATCTCATTATGGACAATTGTTTTCTCTTTATACAAATCAAACTTGTCGAATCATTGTAACATAATTGACGAGGGGATGCTTTCTCATGTTAGTTATCTTGCTTCTCGAATTGTATCAATGCAAATCACATAATGCTTTCTCCTAATTAATTTCAATTATCAACTCATAAATATCACGTAAAAATGAGACAAGAGATCGGAGTGATACTATTATTTTGTACCTGGATATATACGAACTGTATTATAATTATAATAATTTATAAGGAAATTTCAAAGTTCTGAAAATGCGCCACTACCAGGAGTCATAATCAAAATTCATGGAGAAGGTTGCGTCCGCTTATTAGGGTTTTGTGATGATACACGATGACATTATTATTTTTGCGTTATGTTTTCAATTAACTATTACACGTGAAGGAAAGTGGAAACTAGAAGTATATATACTTTTCTACACATATGATCCGTGCCATGTCACAAATTAGAAATACATTTCCCAAGTTTTGAAAACGTGTAAAATTATACTACTAACATATTACCTAAATCTAGAAGCCAAGATAAAACTAGACGTATTACTATAACTTAAAACTAAAAAATAAAAATAAAAAAATACTCCGTACTACTACAATAAGAAAAACTAATTAGCATCCGGAATAGGTTTGATTAATGGGACAACTTACAAGAAATTGAATTAGGAATATCACACACACAAACGCGATAGAAACTTGGACGAATTGGGTGGATTACGTTCAAGTTTCAATTCCGTGATTATTTTAATCCAACAAGGTACGTGAATATGTCAATATATTGTCGTCGTTCTTTTACCGTATCACATGGTCACCTAATCTAGAATAGTCATCTGGTAGTAGTTATCTTGCCACGGTAAAAAAAAATAAAATATATATATATATATATACACACACACATATATATATTATTATTATTATAGAATTGAATTTGTGGTATTTACATCCTATATACGCTATTGTATACATGAAAGATGGCCACCGATGAATCCTATACACTAGAGTAATTATCGTGTCCAAATCTCATGTACTGTCATGTGTCAAAATGTAAAATAAGAGTTGCTGTATCTAAAGAATATAAATTTGTAAAATCAATTTTTTCCTTTATTATTAATTCTCACCGTCTTTTAAAATAGTCCAGTCAAAATAATAAATAAAATTAATTATTTCTGATGAGACAGGAGAAGTATTATCGCACTGAGAACCATCATAATTAAAGTGGACCTTTATTTTTAATAGCTTATGCACATTGCACACAACATCGGGTGGAATTTTTCATAGGTTTTTTCGCCTACGCATAGGCACATCCACAGGGAAATTTTTTTATGGTGTGTGGAATATACTTAAAACGACAAAACAAGAAGATCTTGGTCATTGAATTTTTCCGTCAGTATGTATGATGATCAAGCTGTGAAATGGATCAATGGAGCATCTTAAAAAAGGATCGGCCAACCACCCCAACTTGACAATCGAACTGATACACGCATTCACTTTTTCGCAGTCTCTTCGTAAACAATATTCTTCCGTCCCATAATTATTGTTTACTTTGAATTTTTATTTTTAGTTCAAATTGTACTAAAAATGAAATCTCAAATTGGATAATAATTTTAGGACAGAAAGAGTATTTTATTTTATTTTTTGTTCCCCATGGTGGAGTCTTTATTAGTTGTTATTTTTAGTTCTAGCAACAATGTGAAAGGGGATAAAAAAAAAGATTAAAAAGAAAGTTATTACACATTCAAAAAACTTTTTTTTTTTTTGGTGAAAACATTCGAAAAAACTTCACTTCACTACCTAATTCCCAAAAGAATCAGTCGTGAACAGAATTGTTATAATTTAATTTCTTTATGACTTGCTAAATTAAATGCAGTTGATTCGAGGCTAGTAGAAAACTATTCGTGTCTTTTTACTTGGAATTTGCATCGATCGATATTATAATGATTATTTATCTATCTTTTGAAGCAGTGTAACAAATTTTTTAAGCGTAAGTGTGCATTTTTTTTGCTATCGTATTAAATACGAATACTATGTATTGGAGTAATATAAAAAAAAAAATTTAACTTCTTAATATTAAATTGTAATCTCAAAGACGTTAGATGATGCGAAATTATGGTTTTGAACACCTGATGTAATGCAAAAAAAAGAAAATGTTACAAATATTTTTCAATGAAAAATACTTCACTTATTGGGATATTTAATTTTTTTTTTGAATAATTCACTTATTGAGATATTTTATTTTTATTTTGTAACAATTTTTTTGAGTAGTTATTGTTGAAAACCCTTTTTACCTATTTGGGATTTTTCAATATTGACTTCCTGACCTAGAAAGTATTCTAATTTATAAATATATACTATAAGGTAGCAGTTGGATTTTGTCACTTTGTGGTGACGGTTAATACCTAATTACTGGATTATTACTACAATTTTTCTTTCGTATTGGACAGCAACGTACGTTGTTGTTTAATAATGTCAGTGGCTTAGTGCCAAGGCTGGGTATATTGAACTGGCTAAGAACTTTTGACTTTGGTTTCACAATTACTTACTACAAAAATAATGTCCTTTATCAATGAATGACTTCCAATGTGAACAACCATCATTTCTACTCTTTAGACCACATCTCCACCAAATCGCCAACCTTTAAAATGATAAGGAGTACCTTGTTTTCAACAATTGGCACTAAGGGAGATTATGTTTTGAGTTTGACATACATTACATTCTTTCAACTTTTATTGCTTTCTGATATCATCGTAGGACTCTGATATTTTAAGGAATTTTTTTTTTTTTATATCCGTTTAAGGTTAGGGTATATGTTATACATCTGTTTAAATTCACCTGATGGTTCACGAAGTGAAAAAAATCCTTTCGGAAAATATAAAAATATTGAACAAAATTGTTCAACAATCATGAAGAAAGATACCGTCAATAAAATTTAAATTTTACAACCAATGTATAAAAGGTAATTTTAAGGAAGATTATATTATAAAATGGTGACTACTTTTCCAATTTTAGTCTTTGATCATTAATTAATCAATAATTGTTCCCCCAAGTCCCAACTTCCACCTTCCAAAATAAATAAATAAGTTAAAATTTCAAATACTCCAAAAAATCACATCAGCGTACCAAATATAATAAATTTATGGAGACGGCCGTCAATCCCCAAGACAACAAATAAAGCTTAGCTCAGTTTCCCTCCAGTTTGAAGTTTCAACAATAAAGTCAAAAAGAGTAGCGTTTCCCCCCGCCAACTCCGTTCACCGCCGTTTGCAACCACATTCACCAGTAACATTAAAGAAATGAAAAAGACCCAATTTTGGACCTGTACCAAAAAAGAAAAAAAAAATCATAGTATGAACCGAGCTTTTAATTCCAATTCGCGAGTTTGAATTGAATTGATGATTAAATTAACCCACCCCAGGAAAAAGATGGTTTTTTTCTTTGCTGCTCTCATCACGGTCATCATCACCAAACCCGTTTATCAATTCAACAATTTCACTCATATAAAGAAAAACCCATTATGCCGACCAGTCAATTTTCCATTTTTTTTCCCACTGTCCCATGCTTTGGATTTCTTTGCTCAGAAAAACTGCTTCGAAACCTCGTTGTTGTGGTTACTGCCAACAGGGCTTAATCATCAAGTTGTGAGTTGTGACCAGTTTGTGCATTAATTTCGTCTTTGGGATGGTGGGGGAGGGGCCCTCTTATTTTATTTCACTATAAATTTTGGGATTTTTTTTTTTTTTTTTTTGATCTGGGTTCTGGGTTGTTTCAACACAAGTGGATATTTGCTGTTTTCTGTGTTGCCGATAACGTGTATGATGAAATACTTCTTTGATGGTTTGTATTAGGAGGTGAAAGTTGGCGATATTATTGATGTGAAGACATGCTGAGTTTTTGTGGGAAGTTTGGAACTTGTGGGATGGTGCAATCCAGAAGCTCGTTGTGTGGAGTGGGCTTGATTCTGTTGCTATGCTGGTCTTCCTTGCTGATTGGCTGTGATAGTCAAGTTACGCATCCTGATGAAGGTAGTGGAGTTTGTATACTTCTCTTTACACATTCACTTTCCAGTTTCTTTCGGAAATCGGAAGAGCAGATAGTTTGCATTTATTTGATTCTTCATGTAATTTATTATTCCATCAGCTTCAGAGCTCTGAATCTGCTCCCCATTCAGTATTTGAGTCATTGTAAAATGTGCATAACTTCAGAAGAATCATCACATTCAAAGTACGAAAGAACCTGTGGAAATCTATTTGACAGCTTAAAGATTCACTACACAATTCATGCAAATCTTTCTCTTTATTTCTTTCTCTATGAATCGAATTCAGTTTTAAGCTACTGATAGGTAATTTTTTGGTACACTAGACAACTTTTTCCTGCATGATCATTTACCATGTTTTCGATTGTTTACTCTGCAGTAAAAGCACTGCAATCCATAAGGAAAGCTTTGATTGATCCAAATCGAAATCTCAGTAATTGGAACAAAGGTGATCCATGCACTTCAAATTGGACTGGTGTTTTGTGCTTTAATCATACGATGGATGACAATTATCTTCACGTCAGAGAACTGTAAGTTCCTGATTACAGACATTTTCTTTAGCTCTCATTTTTTGGTATGATGGTATAGCATATGAGCTTGGAGTTCATGCTAAGCATGAAACTGTGAGTTCTAATATCATTTTCTGCACTCTTAAAATATGATGTTAATGTTTTAGTTGATGGTCACATTGTTATTAGGCAATTATTCGGTTTGGGCCTGTCAGGAAGTTTATCACCAGAGCTCGGCCGTTTGTCTTATCTGGATATATTGTAAGTTTAGACTATCCTACTTCCTACTTGCTTTGCGTAACTGGTGCGGAATCTTTCCGCAGCATGACCTTAGATGTTTTGCACTTTCAGAGTTCTTTGTTTTATTTTTCCAGTTGATTAAGATAAGCAAAATGAGAGTTTTGACCAAAGCAATTTATCTACTTGAAGGGATTTTATGTGGAACAGAATCAGCGGGAGCATACCCAAGGAGATAGGTTATATATCATCCTTACGATTGTTGTAAGTTGCTACATGTGTTGATTTTTATTTTATTTTATTTTTTGTTGCGGCTTTCTTGGTCCTAAGAACATGTATCATATCAAGAGTATGGTTTGTATCACATTAAGTTAATATGAGAAGTAATTATTTCTGCGGCTGATGAACCTTTTTTATACATTGTTCCATGGTATTGCCATATGATTTTCATGCGTCCGTGTTTGCAGGCTTCTGAATGGAAATCAGCTGACCGGCTCATTGCCAGATGAGCTTGGTCTTCTTTCTAACTTGAACAGGATACAAATTGATGAAAATCATATATCTGGACCTCTACCCACATCATTTGCAAACTTGAGCAAAGCTCAGCACTTGTAAGAATTTCCCTGCCTTTTAACCAGAATGTTACTATTTTTCTACTCCATTATTGTGTGTATGTAGATTTTCTATCTCTAATATTGTTGCTGATCACAATGTCATTGCTTCATGGTCGTAACAAATTTATTTTTTGACAGTCACATGAATAATAATTCAATTAGTGGGCAAATTCCACCTGAGCTGTCCAGACTTCCAAATCTTGTTCACTTGTAAGTAGAAAATCTGTTGGCCTTTCTCCTGTCACGCTCTTCTGCATCTGGAACATCTTTGATAATGATGTAAAGTTTTTCAGGCTACTTGACAATAACAACGTATCTGGTTATCTTCCACCAGAGCTCTCTGAAATGCCGAGTTTGTTGATTCTGTAAGTAATCTTATGTCCTGCTCTTTGATTTTTCCTTGTGGGAAAATGAAGCAAAACCTCATTAGTCTTGAGATGTTAACGTGTAAGATGTTGCCTTAGCTGCTATAGCTCAGCCCCTGGTAATTTCTTGCATATAATGAGAAAAGAGATAACTGAAAGGCTAGTACTTTTTGAAGGAAGTTTTAGGCAGGTTTTCCATCTTATAAGCCACAAATATAGCCTATATAGGAAAGGTGTTACTTATAAAGGGGTTAATTTACTCACACTACATGACAAATACAATCTAAGCTTCAGTGTAGGGTAAGGCTGCCTTTATTTATTTAATATGTAGATTTTCATGCGGACTACATTAAGATTATGGAATTGGTAAATTTAAGTGGCAGATAAGGGAAAAGATGGTGAGATAGCTTATTATCACAAGCTAATTAGTAATATAGATCTCTTAAAAGGAAAAGATCAAGTTTCTTGAGCTTGAGGACATTATCTACTTTGGCAGTTCTTATTATCCTCCTGACATCCCTTTTTATTGTTGCTTACAGTCAACTTGATAATAACAACTTTGGTGGCAACAGCATACCTCCTTCCTACGGAAACATGTCCCACCTGTTAAAATTGTAAGTGCTCTTGCGTACATCATTATTCTAACAATGGGATGTTGCGTGCACAATGGATTGGCATTCTTTAGTTTCATCCATCCAGTTCTGTAAAAAACAATTCATTTAACTATTCAAGGCTTGCTATCATATACTTACATGTACTCCTTAATCTTCCAAATAATTTAATTATTTGTCCATACTGTGAACCCTGGTTTCCAAGGAAGTTTTCATTTTTTTTTTTTTTTAATTTGTTGCACTTTCCCCTTAGCTCAAAGCACGCCTTGAGAAAGGTACTAATTCTTCCCCATTTCCCCCAAATTTCCGCTTTCGAGTTAATAAAGAAATGGGTTTTTCTGTCCAAGGAAGTTTTCATATTTTAATGTAAGGATGAAGAAACCCGAATCAGGATGATTTATTTAACTGTACTGAAGCCTCTGTCATTTTCTGTATCAGGAGTCTCAGGAACTGCAGCTTGCAAGGGACACTCCCAGACTTCAGCAACATGCATAATCTTTCATATATGTGAGTAGCTTAGATATGATGAGGTCACATAATTTGTTCCTAATGTTGCAGTGCTCCCTCTGAGATTGGCAAGCAACAACTCTGCTAGGAGTTTCTTGTTCTAACAGATAATTCTGTTTATTCAGAGACCTCAGCTACAACCAGCTTAACGGATCTCTACCATCTGAAAAGCTCTCCGATAATATTACTACTATGTAAGCACTTATACTACTTTTCCTTCTTTTTTATTTTTTATTTTTTTTAATCTATTATTGTTTTTGTTGTTTTTTTTAACAACTGTGCTAATTTGCTATCTCACAGTCTGAAACTAATTTGAATTTTGCAGAGATCTGTCCCACAACAATTTTACTGGACCTATTCCTACTAGCTTTGCTAGCCTCCCTCTCTTGCAGAAATTGTGAGTAATCCTTCTACCTTGTTTGCTTTCTCTGTTGTAGGTTGCCATTTGTACTCCTTTAGGTTGTGACCGTTTCTCAGTGTTTTGGAGTCAAACACAATAGATGAACTTGTATGACTGTGAATCCTGTTGCAGATCGCTTGAGAACAATCAGTTGAATGGTTCTGTTCCATCAATCATTTGGCAAAACAGGACTCTGAATGCCACTGAAAGTCTTTATTTGTAAGTCTACTCTTGGAAGTTGGATGCCGGAATTTCTTTCTTGTTTATTCTCAAGCAACTAAATGCTGTCTTAGAAATTGAATTTCAGATTGTTTCCTTCTCCTTGTGTAATTCACCTTTAATATACTCAATGACTGATGTATAGGGATTTAGAGAACAACCACCTCGCAAATATCTCAGGCACTCTTTTTGTTCCGGCAAATGTTACCGTGAGGTTTGTCAATTCACTACTCCAGCTGCAAGGATGGATCATGGCAACATGTTTTATTTGTCATTTCCTCCCATTTGCTGATCTTGCTCTTCTAATTCCTGTGCAAACAACTTCTACAGGCTTCAAGGAAATCCTTTGTGCTTTAATTCCAACCTGGTGCAGCTATGTGGATCTCAGACACAGAATATAGTTGTAAACCGCATCTCAATTTCGTCAAATGGCAGTCAATGCCCCCCTCAAGCATGCCCCATTCCTTATGAATATTACGCATCATCTCCTGTACCTTGCGTTTGTGCTGCTCCTCTGCTAGTTGGCTATAGGCTGAAAAGTCCTGGATTCTCCGATTTCCAGCCCTACCGTGATCAATTTCAAGAATACCTAACAACTGGCTTAAACATTAACCTTTCTCAGCTTGATGTTGGTTCACCACAATGGCAAGAGGCTCGGCTGAGAATGTACTTGAGGATTTATCCAGCTTACATTGGTCCAACTAATTCGTCGTTATTCAACAAGAGTGAAGTTCTCAGAATTCGTACCATGTTCACTGGATGGAACATCCCTGATAGTACCATATTTGGACCCTACGAGCTTCTTAACTTCACGCTTCTTGATCCTTACAAGGATGGTTAGTTTCTTCGACTCTTCAAGTTATTGGTTAAAAAAAAAGAGAAAAAAAAAAAGAACCCGCTAAAGCAATTTGATCTCTAAATTGTTTTCTCTTTCTTCCCTGAAAAAATCTCTGTATCAAGAATAAGTCAAAGGCGCAAAAAACCATTGACCCTAATCCTGAAAAATAACATAGAGAAAGCTAGATGTATCCTATGCATGCGCTTGAAAAAGTGGATTGTGGTGCATTAATCTCATACATCGTTTCGGCCTCTATAGCCAGATAAGTAATGCCTCTGATCCTATTAGTAAGGCACACATTTGAACTAAGTTTAGTTTTAATTTGTGCCTTGTAAATAGGATCAGAGGGAGTACTTCATTGAGTTAATTCTTCTGTTAAGCAAACAGGCAGTTAATTCATACTGTACTGCAATTACATGCCTTAACTCTGAAAGCTGTTAATTGATGTTAGTCGTCCAAACTACAAGTCTATTCATGCTCATTTTATGACCACAATCAGTTGCTCTAACCTATCTTGCTAGCCTTACAAAGATGAATTCTCTGATAGTTCCCATCAATGTACTTGTGAATGGTTTTGGCTTATGAAAGTAGGCAAAAGGCTCTTCATACTCACTTCAATTGCAATTTGCAGTAATCTTCTCCACGTCATCACCTGGTATAAGCAAGGGTGCGATTGCTGGCATTGTAGTGGGGGCCATAGCTGGTGCAGTTACACTATCTGCATTTGTCACTCTTCTTATATTGAGATTAAACTCAAACAGGCAGCAAGCAATTTCCAAAAGGCGCCATAGTGAGTATCTTGTTATCTTATATGAACTTATTAAATTGCATTAAGTTCCATTGCATGAGAAGATCATCAAGGTAAGCTTTTGGAAGTTAGGTTCTTTTGGTCGGAATATTAGGAATTTATATAAAGCATTGAATGACTGCTAAGTTAAATGATTTGACCAGTTGACTTGGTGGAAGAAACTCTAAAGCATAATATGTCACTGAAACAAAGCTTTAGAATTGTTCTGGACATATGAATCATGCAATTTATACTCTATCCTGCAAGTTTCCAGCTACGAATTCTGATTGGGTTATTCATCTCGATGTCATCCTTATAAATGTTTTTGACTTGTTGATCTGTTGTAAGATTCAACACCCACCTTCTACCTCAACTGGTAACTGCTGATTGGAGCTCAGAAATAAAAGCTCAATATCATTTTCTTCTAGGAATCCTAGGTTTTCATATCCTTGCAGCCTAAAGAGATGGATAAAGAGAGAAATAATCTTTCTGTGCAACATTTTTGTCTCCTGGCATCTGATGTATAGCTCTGTGATGCAGTGTCCAAAATATCTATCAAAATAGACGGTGTGAAGGAATTCACTTTCCAAGAAGTGTCAGCAGCTACTAGGAACTTTGATGTCTCTTGTCTGGTTGGGCAAGGTGGTTATGGGAAAGTATACCGTGGTGTTTTAGCCGATGAAACAGTTGTGGCCATAAAACGTGCTCTAGAGGGATCACTGCAAGGTGAAAGGGAGTTCCTTACTGAGATAGAACTACTGTCAAGGTTACATCATAGGAATCTGGTTTCTTTACTCGGATACTGTGATGATGAAGGGGAACAGGTAGATTTACAAACCCAACTCATTTGCAAGCTTTTTCTTAACCTTTGCAACTGTTTCGGGAAGTACTTTCTTGTTGGACACTTCTGATCCGTCATGGATTATTAGTTTCTTATAGAATAGAATTCGGCCACTTCGGGTTGTGATTAAGCAGTACAATAATGTAGTTCTTGTGGGAATATCTAACCGAGGGGGAAAAAGGCAACTTCCAGTTATAGCATTGAAATAATTCCAAATTTCATCTTGTTTAAGACTTGGATCTTTTTTTCTTTTTTTTTTTTTCTGGAGACTTGGTAGAGTATGTTATAGCATCATTTGCAAGCCAGTGATAAACTTACAAGATACAAATATTGGACAATGGGGACCAGAATAGAGCATCTCTGGCCTATCAATAATACTTGAAACTGAATTGAAAATAGACAGCATTTATTTCTAGTTGGTTTTGTGTGTGTGTGTGTGTGTGTGTGTGTGTGTGTGTGTGTGTGTGTTGGGGGAGGCTTCTCAAATCATAAGCATATTCATGGTAGATAATCTCTGACATGATTTTTGTGTATAACATTATCATCAATCATTCAATATGCTGGTTCTCTTACAAAGCTGAGGATTCACTTTTCATGCAGATGTTGGTTTATGAGTACATGCCAAATGGTACCTTAAGAGATCACATATCTGGTACCTCAGCTTCCCTTATAAATACATCAACTTTTGTTACTTGATTTATATAGGTGCTTTTGCCTTTGTCTGCAAGATTTGTTGTGACTTCATATAGAACAACTAAGAGATACACTAAAAGAACACAGACCCACATTGCTAACTAGAAAAGATTGTCCATTTCATTGAGGTTTCTTGCCATAGTAACAATGTTGGGTAAAGTAATAACCCCTTGAATGCAACAGGAAAGTTCAAAGAGCCTTTGTCATTTGCAATGAGATTGAGAATTGCTTTGGGTTCGGCAAAGGGGATCCTCTATCTACACACTGAAGCTGATCCTCCTATATTTCATCGCGATATCAAAGCAAGCAACATACTACTGGACTCTAGATTAACTGCTAAGGTTGCTGATTTTGGACTTTCAAAGCTTGCTCCTGCACCTGACTTTGAAGGAATGGTGCCTAGTCATGTATCTACAGTGGTTAAAGGAACTCCTGTAAGTGTCGTATCAGAGATGTGCCATTCCTTATCATCATTTCAAATACATATTTCGGGTTTGTCAAATAATCATCTTCCATGTGGAAAGTCGTAATCATGTCATCATCTTTCAGGGATATCTTGATCCAGAGTATTTCCTTACACATAAGCTCACTGACAAAAGTGATGTTTATAGCCTGGGAGTTGTATTTCTGGAGCTCTTAACTGGGATGCAACCAATTTCCCATGGCAAAAATATTGTCAGAGAGGTATTGTCTAACAACTTCTTTTTCGGGGTAGTTCATTGTGCTAATGAACTTGATCTTGGTTTTGACCTCTTAATTGCCAGCGCTGTCCAATGCACCTTTTTCGCATTTTCAATGTAACTTTCTACATTTTAAAGTGAAAACCAGAACTAATACACTATGATTCCCATGCACTTTATCTGTCAAAATCAGGTGAATATTGCATACCGTTCTGGGATGTTATTCTCAGTGATAGATGATCGAATGGGATCATACCCGTCTGAGTGTGTGGAGAAGTTCATGACACTGGCTCTCAAATGCTGCCAAGAAGAGACAGAATCCCGACCTTCGATGACTGAAGTGGTCCGGGAACTGGAATCCATATGGATGATGGTGCCGGAATCCGACACAAAACTGGTAGACTCGATCACGACTGATCCAGGAAAAGTTGTAGAAACCACAACATCATCCTCAGCTTCATCTTCTGCAATTGCCGGGATGAGACATCCATACATTTCATCCGAGGTTTCTGGCAGTGACCTCGTGAGTGGAGTTGTTCCCACCATTACACCGAGATGATGAATTTTCCATGAATTCAATTTTGTATGTGTAGTATATGTATTGTGTATCACGTAGTACTAGATTGTAGAAGAAGACTTTGTAGTAATAAATTAGAAACATCACCAGCCAGCTTTTTTTGGTGTTTTGGCATTTTTCATTTAACTCAACTTTTCAACGATAATTTTTTGTCTAGCTTCTTTCTTTGTTTTTGTTTTTTTTGGTTTATATTTCTATTTCCCCCCTCTTTTTTCCAATGCTTAATTTCTAGGCCAGGAGATTATTAGTTTTCCGGAAATTTTAATTTTATTAATAAAATAAATATATTTATTAATAGTCCATGTTGAAAATGGTACTCGGACGAACTTTCTTCTATACATGACTATATTCATTGCTGTTCACTGTTGTGCTAATATGAAATATCGGCTATGGTCTTGTATATCCATTGAAAGACCAAATATACGACTCTAACAAAATAATGAAATAATTGTATTTTTTTGGTAGACAATATCTACAAGTTATTTTTTTGGTTATTCTCAAAATAAAAATTACGAGTTTTCTTCTTCATCATAAACGAAATAATTTTCTTGTGGATATCTGCAATATGCAAAAGATAAATAATTTTCTTATCTTAAAAGGTTGAATAGGTTCGCCATCTCTTCAGGAGGTTGATAGCAATTTTACCCTTTACCAAATGGAAATTAATAAATACAATATATTGAAAAAAAAAGAGATAGAGAGAGAGAGAAAGAAATAAAAATAAAATAAAATAAAGAAGAGGGTATCAGCGAGTCAGCTTAAATGGTCCAAGAAGCTTCGAGAATGGGCTGAGGCCTGGGCTTACGATTACATTCAAAAAGGTCGGCCCTGTCCAAACATCGGACCTTTTGTTTAGACGCGTAAATTACTACCACCACAGATGACGCATGCCCGGACGTAAGCCCATTCGGCCCAGTCAATTCCTAACATCCGTATATAAATAACCATTTCAGCTCCTTACCCTAGGGCTTCTCATTGTGTATTCTTCTTCCTCGCCGCAGCTGAACCTCCGAAGACATCCGCCATGGGGAGAAGTAAGCCCTTTCTCTTTCTCTTTCTCTTTACCTCTTTCTGGTACACACAATCACGCACTCAGAACACCTATGTTTTCTTTATTTATGTAAAATCTTGATTGTATGTATCGTCTTTTATGTTTGCGTCTCTAGGGTAGAAACTGCTGTTGTTTCTGTTGGGAGGTTTTGCCTTTTATTTGTTCATTTGTATGCGGATGTTTGGTAAAATCCTCTGCTATGTGGTGAAATGATGGTTTGAAATAGAGGGAAGTTATTTCACAATCGTTGAATATGCATTCGATTAGGTTTTTTCTTGGCTCGTAATTACACACAGCTATTGAAGCAATTGTTATTTTTTGTGGCTCCTTATGTTTGTTTGAATTATGATCCACAGGAGCCGTTTGGTTTTTTTTATTAATTTTATTTATTATAAAGATTAATTGATGATTTTATGAACTTGTTTGTGATCATTTTGAAGCCTTGATAATGATTCATTGTCATTTTGATTTATGTTGATTTCCCTTGCCCACCCTTGTTGTTATTTGAAGCTATTGCTTTTGTTTATGCATTTTAAATAGTTGACTTAGAGATGTAGCTAGAGATCTGAAGTAACAATCATATTGTTGTTGGGCAGGACCTGCAAGATGTTACCGTCAGATCAAGAACAAGCCATACCCGAAGTCCAGGTATTGTCGTGGTGTCCCTGATCCTAAGATCAGGATCTATGATGTGGGAATGAAGAAGAAGGGAGTGGATGAGTTCCCATTCTGTGTCCATTTGGTTAGTTGGGAAAAGGAAAATGTCTCCAGTGAAGCACTTGAAGCTGCCCGTATTGCTTGCAACAAGTACATGACCAAGTTTGCTGGAAAGGATGCCTTCCACTTGAGGGTCAGGGTTCATCCATTCCATGTTCTGCGTATCAACAAGATGTTGTCGTGTGCTGGGGCTGATAGGCTCCAAACTGGTATGAGGGGTGCTTTTGGTAAGCCACAGGGAACCTGTGCTCGTGTTGCCATTGGTCAAGTACTTCTCTCTGTGCGTTGCAAGGATTCCAACAGTCCCCATGCTCAGGAAGCTTTGCGTCGTGCCAAGTTCAAGTTCCCAGGTCGCCAAAAGATCATTGTTAGCAGGAAGTGGTATGTACAATGACTTTAATCTTTTAAGATTATCCTCTTAAGATTATACTTGGTATGATGGCTTTATGGCTAAAAAGAACAACTAGATATTTTAATCTTAACTTTATAAACCTGTTATTTGGAACCAACATTTGTTTTGATGGATGAGATTCTTATTTTATTCTTTTAAGATTATTCTCGGTGTGATGGCTTTATGGCAAAACAGAACAACTAGATATTTTAACCTTAACTTTATAAACCTGTTATTTGGAACCAACATTTGTTTTGATGGATGAGATTCTTTTTTTATCTGTTAGTGAGATTCCTTTTTAAAAACTAATTTATGGGCCAATTGTTTTATCAGTTCTCTATTATGATGTTATCGGTGGCTATCCCCATCTTTCATTGTTTGGAACAGGACGTTCTATTCTTGTTCTAACTTGCGTTGGGGGAGATGTAATCTAACTGTCTTTTTGTGCTCAATTTCAGGGGCTTTACTAAGTTCAGCAGGACTGATTATGTTAGGTGGAAGCAAGAAAACAGGATTGTTCCTGATGGTGTCAATGCCAAGGTTGTTCATTACTTCATTGTTCTTTTGAAGCTTTTTCATTTTGCAACCATCTTGTACTGATCATTTTGGATAGGCATTTCAGAATACTAATCCTATTTGTTTGCATTTTAAACTTGCAGCTTCTTGGCTGCCATGGACCATTGGCTAACCGTCAACCTGGAAGAGCCTTCTTGGAAGCAACCTCTTAAGAGTGTTTAATTAAAGTACCTTCTTGTCTGGTGTTTATTGTAGTACTTTGCGAATGAGATCAGAGGCCATCTGGCCAGATTATAGTTTTGCAAGTTTCCTTTATTTTATGTCAGATTTTAAAATTTTTAGTTTATGGTACTTAAAATGGATTGATTCTAAGTTCTATTATGCTATTGGTTCTGCATTTGGTAGTGTTCTAAAATTTGGTTTGCTCACTAACTATTTTGAATGAGGTAAAGCTTTGGATAATCTTGCTTGGCCTGCTACTTCACGTTGCCTAAAATTATAAGAGCTAAACTTGGGTTGATGTTTTTTTTTTTTGGTTTTTTTCCCCTTGCATTGTTCTACAAATTTTAATTAGTTCAGGGTCAATAGATTAGAATCGATTTGAGTGGCCCTTTTATCATACGAAACTGCAGAATGTCTTTGTTATAACCTCTACCTCCTCCCTGGGTTCTTTTATCGATCCACGACTAATAATAAAACCGAAACTGGGGTTTGTCGTATTTCTGGTGAAGGAAGTTCCAACAAATATGTGGAAGTTTAAGATGGCAAGAAGCATTTGCATATCCAATATACCTTTGTTTTTCAACATTTCTACCACATGTTATCACCAGACGCGGGAGCATACTAGATGCTGGCAAAAGATTTGACACATTAGCTATCTAATTGTTCTAGCAACAAAATCTTTTCGGACTTCCATCTGTTTGAGATGCATGCTTGTTACATAGTACTTCGCATTCTGGGTGGAGATATCACTTCAGACGGTTGCTCCTCCTCCTTCCTAAAGCAACCGAGGGATCATCTGTTTTAGATGGCGTAGAATTTTTCTTTGGTTTGCTCGGTTCATATTTCTCTGACGCCGCTAAATTTTTCTTCGACTTGTTCTCTTTATCTGTCGTGGTCCCTATTGAATTTCTCAATTTTTTCTTTGGCTTGCTGTCCTCAGTTTTTTGGCCTTTCACCTTCTTTGCTTCTTCTCCATCATCACAAGCACCACTGTCCTCAGGAGTTGAACAATCAAAAGCTCTGACGATGTAAACCTACAAAACAGCAGAAACAGTTCCTTAAATACAGCCACGGTTCATTTTTCTGATGAACAAAGCTTATACGCATAGTGCTATCAACAAAGAAGCCCGGATAGAGAGGTACTTCTAAGTTGGAAGACTGCACCATTTTGCAATTAAAACTTAACAAACAGTGCCATCAAATATAGTTATGCACACATCAGAGATACAATCGAGCAAACCTTGAATCTTGTTGGTTCAGTCAATTCAAAAACCAAAGCATCACCATCATCCAGTTTATGCTCCAGGGCAAAAGCTCTCCATCCACCACTAAGACCAACTCTATGGCTTATGTAAACTGCCTCATACTCTGCACCTTCTTCATTCACTAGTACCATATCCGTAGTTGACTTGGGCAAGTGTTCCTCACAAAACCGAGAAGGAAGGCCCTGATCGTTATGACAAAATGAGTAAAACAGTGGAGCAGCATTCATCGTTTCAGGCATATCATCATTGTTTACGAATTAGGCCAAGAAAGCCACTTACCAACCAGAAGCAACTGTAAACATGAGACCTGAGCATTGATTTGACAAAGGATGGGTTGTCTGAGTTCAAGTTCCTTTGGACCTTCTCTGCAGATCTCAGCGCACGTGTCCGTTCTTCATATGAGGCAGTTCTAACTTCTTCTACTGGTCTCGCAAGGTAACTGCTATTCGAATGCTACCATCAGATGACATTTGGAAGAACACAACAACTAAATAGGAAGAGAGATCAAATTTACCTTGCCCATGAAGAACCCCAACCCCTCGTCGATCTCTTCCGCGTACTTGAAAGGCCTATGTCAATCTATTTTGAAAAACCAGTGTTTAAAGACCAAACTTCAGTTCTGTTCATTCATATGAGTAAAATTGTAACACTGGACTTCAGACAATTGCTAACTCATGATAAGCAAGGAACTGACAACCAGACATTACAGGAACTGCAGACGGACAGACCCCTATCGTCTGTGTTAGTAATGCAACCACTAAGTTTCTTAGAACGTCATGAACATACAAAGAGCTAATCCATTCAGCATATATGTGACTGGACAAATAAATCCAATTCCATGTCTCATATATTAATGCAAAGAACATTCAACTGAAGTCTGATTTTTCTAAAAAGTACTAAATTCATCAAGATCTACTCACTTCAAATCACAAAACTTTGTCACTTACATTTACATCATCACGATATGTAGCGACTGGGTTACGTGCGCGAGATGAGCGTCTTGGTTCCAGCGTGTAAACACCATTTGGTTTTGGCCTCTTCATACGTTGCTGAAAAGGAATTAAAAAAGCCTCATTTCATAAGTATCCACAAAACTTTATGACTTTCTATACCCACTGAAATGGATAGAAACTAGAGCAGCAAACAAGCCAAACAGAAATCACCTGTGACTTCTTCTCAGTGTTTGAGATGTCAGATAGGCTTTTGGAGATGCTCAAAATTCCCAGATCCTTCAGAGTTGCAAATTCAGAGGATCAAAGACAGAGTAACATATAATATGTCTGGTACTTCCAATGAAAGTCTAAGCAAACACTTAAAAGATGCAAATTAACAATTACTAATAAGTACAGTGACAGTGACATATGGCAGAATGGAAGGAGGCATACCTCGAATCTCTTCTTGTTTTCGAGTAACCTTTGTTTACGTGCCTCTTCGTAAGTACTGGAAATGTCTTCTTTTGCCATATTTTGCCAAAAGTGTGCCTAATCTCTAATATCCAGCTTATGTAGTCAATTGACCAGGGCTTTGCAACTTGGAAGGAGCTGACTGCTAAAAGCCTAAAACCCAATACCTGAACAGAGTTTGTGTCAATTTTAGGGTATGAATCATTCCATGTTGAATCATGGAAACCTCAAAAGATACAATCTTGATGGTCAACAGGCCATCACTATCCCACTAAGAAACTTTGTTTCAAGAATCGATTTAGTTCCCTATGAAGCCCAATAGTCGAATAGGACGCATGTAAAACAATGTATAGGGAACAGAAACTTGAAAAGCTACAATCTTTAACTTCTTTCAGGCAGTTTTACAGTCTTATGGTGCCATCATTTTTGATAATATATTTAGGCAAAAGATCATTTCATCCTCCTTCAATCTTCAACCCCCGGAGACAACAGGAGAAAAGACGGGTAGGTAGGTAAAGCCACCATTTAGGCTTCTACACAGTAACATGTAAAATCTAATTCTAATTTGCAAACAAATCAATCATAAATTTGGACTCAGAACTTCTAATTGAGTAGAAAAACAGCATAAATCGTAAAAAAGACCAGCAAATGAAAATTTTGATTGCACACAGGGGGAGAAAAAGAAAAAGAAAATTTTTTTTAAAAAATTACTGTAGTAAGAAGTGAACCTTTCACTTGGTGGAATGCAAAATGCAATGGAGCCTGAAGGGTGGCGGGGATGAGAGCGTAGGCGGAGAAGATGGAAGAAATCGGCTGGCTGGATAATGGTGGAACGTTGTTTGAGTGACAAAATCAGGGGAAGCCTAAGCTAAAAGGCTAGAATAATAGAAAAGTTAATGAGAAGAGGAAGCGCCCTTTTCACGATTTCCAAGAATTTGAAAAAGTGAACCGGGTCCATCTGCTGTTTTCAGTTTTTCTCTTGAGCCTTGAACCGGGTTCATTTTCTGAATTCTTCCTGATGGTGTCAATGCTCTTTTTGTGGCTTATTTATTTTGGAACCATCTTTCATTCTATGGATATCATTGTAGCTGTGGGATAGGCATTTCAGAATTCAGAATAGTAATAATTTTAGTACTTTGCATTTTAAATTTGAAGAGCCTTCTTGGAAGCCATCTCTTAAAGAGTGTTTTATTCAAGTACCCTTGAGATTTCAGGTCATGGTGCGAATTGAGATTCTTTGGTCAAAATTACATTTTTGTTGCTTTCCTTTGATATTATCTCCGATGTGTATTCAGATTCTATATTGCTTTTAGTTTGTGGTGCTTCCAAGGGTTGATTCCAAGTGTTATGCTATTGATACTGCATTTGGTGGTTTGCTGTTGTGTTCAAAGATTTGGTTGGCAAAATGGCAATTTACTATTTTGAATCATCATTAAGATGACGAGACTAAAATGCATTTTCATCTTCGATCATCATTAAGATGAACAAGACAAAAGTAGAAGCATTTGCATCACGTCAGAGCTCAAATGCTCTACACATCATCTACACTATGCTTGTAATGTGATGTATTTGAATTTAAAGAGACTCGTGGAGACTGTCCCTATAAGAGCTCCGGCAACGCACTCCGACAAGGAATTTCAAGTATTTAAGAGTAAGAAATGAATGAAGAAACAATTTTATTTTATGTTTTTTCAAAAGGAAGCTGCACAAACACATCTTCTCTACCCTTAAAAGGCTAAAGTCCGCTAAACACCCTTTCAAAAACCTTATCCAACCAGAAGTAGAATTGGACTAGATTTTTAATGTAGTTAAATAAACTAGTTCAATTTCTAATTCTGCATTTCACTTGGATTGAAAACTCGAGTCTCTGAGTTTACTGAACAGCTATAACCAAAGCACAAATAAAAGCATATTGTCTATAGATATACTATTAACCAAAAGTAATAAAACCAGGATCGCTCTTCATACATACTCATCATCATCATCATCATCATCAGACACCTGTTGCAATTCAGCGGACCTCGTTGAAGCTTCCACACGAGTGCTGAATTTGTGGAACTTCCGCCTTGATTCCATACAGTGAGCCCGAGATTTGGTGTAGCTACGCAAATTCTCCCTTCGTAGCCCAACTTCCCTCAAGTATTGGTTTTCCAATATTACTATATCATCGTTCGAGACCACCCGTCTATACCCGGCTTCTCCTATATGGAAGACTTACATACACAAAAAAATAACACACTCATCAGGAGGGAGAAGGGGGGGCTGGGGGTGGAGTACTCCCTTTGTCCCGCTGTAAGAGTCCACTTCATTAAACAAAATTAGTACATCAAAGAGACAAATTAAAAATGGGACGTAGGGAGATAAGAACCCAAAATGGACCAACCGACCAATCATCAAGTATACATAAATGTGTAACAACGAAAGAGACCAGCGGGGATCACAAGCTTACCACTGACACATTCAAGACTTTCATGTGCGAAATATACACCAAGACCAAGTGTACGTTTGGCTAACTCTATGGCTTTATCCACAGAGATATCATTGATATCATAAGATGGCCTATAGAAAAACCAGAAAAAAAAAAGGTTCTTAAAGAGTCGGGTAAAATCAGGTGCAATTCAAAGAACCCAATCTGAATAAAAATAGAACCCAACAGAGATTAAAGCAATTAAATTTAGTGTCTGCCCGATGCATCAAGAAGGCCAAGCATCAACTCCCAAAATATTAAATTGAGGAAGGCAACCATGTTTACGCGTTACAACAAAAAGAAGGGAGAAGAGACATACGTGAGATTAAATTTAACAGAGGCCGCAGAAGCGCATCCAATTCCAGCTACTGGGACTTTAAGCAGTCTCCCCTTACTGTTTACTTTATACAGGGCAGGTCCCTACAGAAAGACAAACCATGATCAATTCGATAAGTCATAGGGAAAACCAAAAAGAAGAGAGCAATGTAATAAGATTTACCGACTCATTGTCCCACCCAGTGAGAGACTGTCATCGCTGTCAGGATGAAGGGACAAAAACTCAGCCAGCCAGTTGGATGCTTCAGCGGCAGAAGCTTTTCTCCCCTCCTCGAGTTCATGATCATGGCACTAAAACACATACAATGTCCACATGAACAACAACAGTAAAATCTTCTGTCAGATTGTAGGTAAATCTGTTTCTAACTTAGTGTACTTAGTGTTCACAGCAGCAAGTACCTTCTTTGGCAGATGTTTCAGCAAATACTTGCGCGAAGCTTTCCTCCCCCCAGAAAAGGCAGCAAGCAGGTGCGAGCTGAGTACAACAACATTTGGTGGAAATGCATCAGATCGACTAGAAATAATACGATTTCCACGTCGTTGTTTCCTCCTTGAATGATCGAGGGCTAACAATAACCCCTTTATTGTTGAAAATGAAACCCAGCGTTGTGGTTCCAGCTCCACGCCCAGGGTAAAAATCATCAATGAACAACCTATAAAACCCCCAAATGGAAAAACAAAAAACACACACACACACACAAACAAATCAAACCAAACAGAAAAGAAAACAATTTCCAAATATTAAGCAGAGGAGTATAATAATGACTATGTAGTAAGGAAGAGGTAAAAAAGAACCAGCAACCGCTGGCTGGTCTAGTAATCGAATCCATTGTTCAATACAAGCAAGACAAAACAAAGCAATCAAACGAAAGTTTATATAACGGAAATTCAAAAAGGAAATTGAAACCGCAAAACGTAGGAGAAGAGAATTCCGAAGTGGCAGAGATTTTCACCTTTTCGCCCATAGTAGAGTTAAGCTGGTTCAACGGAAGATTGTATCAATCGTTCGTTCTCACCTTCAACCCGACCAAAACAAGCAAAATCATACTGAAATTGATAAATCTGTATTCCCAGCCCTAATTTTTCCGATATATAGAGCTAGAAGGTTAATGAGAAGAGAAAGTGAACCGGGTCCCTGGGTGACGAGTCCAAATAGTACAGCCCGCCACTAAGCCGACCCAAGTTCAATGAGCGGTCCAATCGCCTCTGAAAGCTTTTTAGGTCGGTTTATAATTACTTTCCTACCAAGGAAGGGTTTCATAACCTCAATCTGTCATATCAAATGTACGGTCTATGAAAAATCTAACTTAATACTTCTCTTTTTTGCAGGTTTTAGATTACTATACCGCCATGGCCGACGGTTCAATCAACTAGAGACATCGATGCTAATCCGGTCAAGTGGCACGCCCAGTAGGACCCAAGGCTTTCCCAAAACCAAGAGGACGAACGGCGTAGAACGTCTCCAATTAATCATCGATGATCAAGCTCAAGGCACTGCCATAATCGCAAGCACAAGCTTGGCCAAACCAAAGCGTCCATCCAGGTTCTATGTTTTCAATTAATATTAGTGATAATATGTTTGGCCTGATGGAAATTCGCCTTAGCTTCACGAGTGAAACAATGTGCTATTGACTTTCATGGCCAAAGCACACCGCATGGCTAATCATCAAATTATTAATATGTGGGATAAAGGTTACAGATTAATGGCAACAGACATGGTTGTAAACCTTCAAGTCTTTAATTAATCAAAGAACATAGGTTTGATTGTTTTAGAGGCGACAGCATGCTGGTTGGCTTCATTTTGGACGTTAAGGAAGCAAGGATGGACTCCTTCCAACAAAGTTTTCTCGAACATCCCCTTTAATTGATTGATTGACAACCAAAGACGGAGAACAAACCGAGCTACGATGTCCAGGTTTCATGATTTTAAATAATCGTTCTTTACTTCATCAAGTTCTTGTTTATATGCATGCTCAAATTACTACTACTCCGGCCTTGAAAATTTGTTGGAACAATAATACTTTTTTATTGTTATATTCTTATCGCCCTTTCGTAGTAGTACGACGAAATATATGGATTGCTAAATACCTTTATGTCTTGCACGAGTCTGCTATCTTCGTCCTACTTGCGATGCATATTTTATCACTTGATTAAGTTTAGAAGGCAACAGTTTCATATATATTTTTGCAAATTATATGGTGAGGCAAGTCTGACCAGGGTTTAGTAATCATCGCTTGGATACCATTATGAACAACCCCTGTTTCTCGTGACAAGTAGCTTTGCGACCAAAGCTTCCATACCATGATAAAAATTTATTGAATTCTAAATCTTTTATTATGGTGATCAGATTCCATCCATCCACTCATATTAATGCCCTCGATTATTAATTGTATACATGACTATATGGGCCTTTCATTATTCCTTTTCTCACGAATGCATGCCATACACATATACGAGACCTTTTAGACATACGCTATAACCTGGTGTAACTTCTGGTCTGACTTAATTAATCAACCTCAATGTCTTAAAGCTTTGTGACTTCTTGGTTTTTCATTCATAATTGAAAGCTTACCATTGAAATATAGCCTTCCTAAGTTTACAAAACTACTTCATTATTGGGAACAACTTGTAAATTTGAGGATATAACTCTATCCGTGCCATGGATGGTGATAACCCGAGTATCTTATATACATGTTGCACCTATTGACATGAGTTTCTTAACTCTATATTTGAGTATCATTATTCTATTCTTATCAGCCATAATTTTTTATGATAAATCTTTTGAGTTTATGGTTGACTAAGGAAATTACCACACATCAAATTTGGTTCGAGAGACTACACGGCTTCCTCAAACCAAATACGCTTGAGAAACAAGTCAGCCAGCGAGAACTACGAAACCTCTAGTTATGGTAGAAATCAAAACAGCCGCAGCTGCTCGACAAGGATTCCAAATTTTTACAAAATTGTAGAACGGTCCCTAATGATTTCATGATTTATACTTTAATGCTAAAGTTTCTGAATACGCAGATTAGCCCTTGGACCGTCAAAGAACATACTTGGACAAAATTCTCTTTAACTAAGCAGAATTTTTGATTCACTCCCTTCAGATATTATTTATCATTCTTGCCTCTAATAGTTTCATTGTTTTTCATACAAGTCCTAACCTTACAGCAAGGGCGACCTGATATTTCAAAAGTCACATCTCCTCGACAGGGAGCGCGGCATCCTACGTGAGTACAAGACTACTCGGTTGTTTCCGGCAGCACAAACTGAGACACCCATTCTTACATAATTGCACGAGGCAGAGACTTTAATGATAGATAAGTTATCATAGCCTTCTATTACAAATAATTCCTTGTTATATATCATTGCCTTCCGAACTTATTCAGTTTAAGGGGGACAAATTTATGTCTAGCATCCTTATGCATAAATACACATACTAGGCCTCCCTGAGCCTATTGTTGCTACATAATCATAGTAGTAGCATTCGATTGTATGTTACCTGATTAGGTTTTCTAACATACTTATGAGTCAATTCCTCTTTGCCATCACATCAAGCATGAAGGTTCTTGAAAAGTATTTCAATAACCTTACAAATTGAATATCATGCACAGTTCACTAATTTCAGGGTACTACTTGCCCTATTCTTATATCAGAACATGATATTCGCATTCTTACTTCATTTTAAGCCGTGCACAATTCTTGTATGCTCACTAAGGGTCCAACTACTTTATTATTAGAACAACTAACGTTTGTCCGAAGTGAATAACTATGCAAGCATAGTTCGATTTTTCGAGGGATCGAAGGCACATACAGTCGTGATCACATAGATTAGCCCTATGACAAGGGTGGAGACAATCCCCTCGACTGATTTGGAAGGAGATAACTAACTCCAAACTTACTCGTGCCATGTTGTCATATTTCTAACTAGACTTCTATAATGAATACAATTTTGGTTATGCTCTTTAAATTATTCAGTGCCTCCCTTGAGTTGATCTAACGAAATTTTTGTAGTTACAATAAACTGTCCGAGAGTGGTGCAGTTATAATACTTAGTTTTGCAGGTCTTACAACAAGACAATTTGATGAGCATCCTTCTCGAATTTCGAAACAACCCATTCCAAGGGGCACTGACCTGCTCGAAAAGGAAGATAAGTGTTATATCTCATTGACATTTACATGCTCTATGGCTATTATCTCCTTGCATAAATAGTATATCATAAGATATCATGTCTCAAATCGCATAGACTACAAATCATCGACTAAGTTAATCGTTAACCTATTCTGCATACATGCAATGTGTGACTTTGCTGGTTTTTGTATCATTACATTCATGATCAGCCACTATCTAGCCTTCACACGCGTAATCACAGAATCGTGCCATCTATGCTTTCTCGAGTGGAGTTTAAATGCTATTGGCGATCTAAATTCTAACCATAGCACTTTATGCTGATTGTTTCCATCTTTCTTGAAAAGCTTTTATTGTATGATCTTGAGAATAGGAATGCAAGAATTTTCATCATAAGGGCATGCTCGAGATTTAGGAAGAATTTCTTCCTATTTTTGTAGAACTTGCAGAAATATGAGAATGGCGATAGCCCCTCCATGATGCGAGATTGTAATCAGGCCACAGTAGCCTCGAACAAACAAAAGATCAATACACCGTGCACTTCAAGAATGAGCTCTGACAACAATGATGAGGAGTTCATTGACAAGTGGGTATTGCTAATCTGACTTGTGGATACCCCTGGAAGAGTTCCAACAAATAAGTGATACGATCTCCTTATAATTGCTTCAGTATATGAACATCTACATTATGACATGAATGTTACGATAGTTCATAGGCATGAAATAATTGTTCTTGCACTCATATCATGACACATTACACATATGTGTTTCTTAGACCTCTTCAGCATCCTCGAACTTTCACATGCAAACTGCTTGCACGAAAATTCTTTCTCAGATGCATGACTTATTACTTGCATCATCGCATATTAGTCATGAAGTATGATGCCACAGCTTTTATAAATATCTGGCTTTGTTTACTTTCCACGAAGTCATGTTCATTTTCTTTCTTTTGAAAGGGGGTAGATCCCTCTCTCTTACTTACAGTTGTCGGTAATATGCTATAAATGTCATAGTGTAGGATGGTTCTTCTTCCTTGAGCCCTGAGTCGCAATGGATCGTTGTACATACTCTACCTAACAACTAGCTCGAACTTGCTATCGCGAAGCCGCTAAGACTTTCACATCTGATGGTCAAGCTCCATGACAAATTTCTATGACTCTTCAAGGGTCTGCAACATTCTTTCATAGCTCTTGTGAGCTAACCAAACCATGGCTTCAATAGCCTTGCTCATATCATGGTGAGATCTTTCCGCTTCTTACATTTTATATCTCAAAAGGACTGTTTTTCAAGGGGGCAGAATCCTTCAATAGTATATTTTATTCCACACGATTTCTCGTGCTATGATAATTTATTAGTCACTAATAAATCTACTAGTACGTGAGTAGTTGTTTTTGTCAGGATCAGAGAACCATCTGGGCTTCTAATGGTGTTTGTGCTCGAAAGCCATCACCATCAGAATGATCTATCCTCGACAATTGCCATGAAAGGATTCAGACGAATACTTCCTCGAAACT